ACCACGAGCAGCTCCAGCAGCTCTTGGTGCAACAGGCTTGCTTGCCTGAGAATCCAATGGCCGTGACCTCCTCCCATCAGCCAATGACACAGTATTGAAACTAAAGGTTTAGTTACGCTGAAGTAAGAAAAAATGAACTTGTTTTTAGAAAAACAATTTGCTTTCTCCTAAAGAGGTAATTAAAAAAAAAAAAAGAACATAACTGATGTGGGAGTGTCATATATCAATCTGTTGATTTCATTGGTTAAGCAATAAAGAAATTGCTTGGCTGGCCCTGATAGGTTAAAACATAGGTGGGAGGAGTAAACAGAATAGGATGTTGGGAGGAAGAGGAAGTGAGCTCAGACTCTGCTCTGCTCCCAGAGAGACTCGACAGCTCTGCTCTCTGGAGCAGAGACGCCATGCTCAGCTCTCCCTGGTAGACAAGATAGCTCTGCGCTCTGAGGCAGACGCATGAAGCTCAGACCCAGGATGGACGTAGGCTAGAATCTTCCCGGTAAGTGCACCTTGGGGTGCTTACACACATTATTAGAAATGGGCTAAATTAATATGTGAGAATTAGCCTAGAAGAGGCTACATAGAAATGGGCCAAGCAGTCTTTAAATGAATATAGTTTGTGTGTTGTTATTTTGGGGCATAAGCTAGCAGGCGGCCAGGGTGCTGGGGACGCAGCCCTGCCACTCTTATTTCAACACATAACCAAATTATTTAGGATTCTAGAGACTGACAATAGATACAAAACATTAGTAACTATTTGTTCAGGGAAATCTGAGTCTTGAGACAGAACAATGAGACCATGCCACCTGAGCCCACTGAAGTCTCCTCCCTGTAGAGCAGCAGGTCTACTGGGGTAGGGCAGCTGTGTGGGGAGGGCTGGCTCTAACCCCAGTATAGAAAGGCTCTGTACCCAGGCATCGTTCCTGAGGAAGAAACTCAGTAGAGCACTTTTGAAGCACGAGCAAGGCCCTGGGCCTGATCCCAGGGGTGGGGATGGGGGTATGAGGAGGGGAGGAGGAAGAAGGAAGAGAGAAGAAACTCCAATGCCAACAGCAAACGAACAGGAAAAGCTGATACAGGTAACCTTAAGCCTTGGTTCCGGTTGGACAAGCAGCGGACTGGCTGACACACAGCACGACCGCTAACCAAAGGAATGAGTTTGAGCACGTATTCAGGAGAGAGCAGTGGAAGCCCTGGCTACATTCCTGCCTAGGCCAGAAGCCTTGGCTATAGGCAGAAAACAGGAGAATGTCTAGTCTAAAGTAATGCTGAACACGTAGGACTGCACTGTGTGTGTTAAATAAAGATCTGCCTCTGACAAACACTGGCTAACCACCAAGATGACCCAATACAGACAGGGCTGACTCCCAAGAATCCAGGTTCAACAAAGATGCAGTAGAGTGAGCAGACATTGTGGTTGAACACTGTGGGGCAAGACAGCAATCATTAGACAAAAAGACCAGACAAACAGCAACAAACAACAAAACAAACTATTTCCGTGGGTGGGGAGATCTGATAAAATCAGAATCCAGTTGTTTCAATAACGATTTAACCAGGCTTTTTGTTGTATTTTATTAAAAAAATTATAAAACATAAAAGGATACATGAAGAACCGATTTTCAGAAAAAAAAAAAGACTAAGTGACTCAAAACTGTCCCTGTCCCTCCCTGTCTTGTATTCCATGAGATGCCAGTTACAGTCAGCCTACTTTCAAATGCATGAAACACTGCCGCTAAGAGGGATGCAAATCCCACTGCTGCCTGAAAAACACATCAAGCTCAGCTGCCCACCAACACCCCCGCAGCCCTGGACTAGAGAGGACGAGTCAGCAGGACAAGATAAGCCTAGAAATAAAACCTTACAGCAGCCATCCACGGCTGTTTCACAAAGGTGCCAGAGCAATGCCAAGGGAAAGGGCCGCTCTTCAACAGACAATACCAGGACCCTGGGTGTCCACACACAAAAATGCCACAGTTCTCTGCCATGTGTGCAGAGAGGAACTCAGAACAGATAACAGGCCTCAATGTAAGAGCTAAAACAATTTAACTTTTAGATAAAAACACTTGGTGACACTACACGAGGCAAGAAGTCATCAGGGGACACACTGGTACTGTACTTCACCACTCAAGTCTTCTGCACTCCAAGGAGACCATGAAACAGAGGGCACATCAATATCGGAGAACAGCAGAGTGCATGCAGAACTCACAACTTAGAAAGAGGTGACAATGGGCAGAGCATATGCAAAGCTGAGCTGAAGAAAGGAGTAGCTGTCAGAGATTAGGGAACCGGAAGGCAACAGTGCTGGGAGCTGGCTCAGCAACACTTCCCCCCCCCCCCCCCCCAGTTGAGCTCCAGCGTCGAGAGCCATGGAAAAAAGAAACTACTCCCACAAGTGCCCTCTGCCCTCCCCATGAGCACTGTGGCCTGTGGATGTCCAAATGCACAATTTAAACTGAAAAACAGTCTCTACAATGGACTCAGCCTCCTGTTAGAAGGAACCGGTGGCGATGAACGCTGGCAACCCGACTTTCATACACTGCTAGCAAGCACATGAGAGAAGTCACCCTAGACTGTGGCAGCTGCATAAAACAAGCCAGCACAACTCTGCAGTGTTCTCTCCAGATCTACACACACCAAGAGAAATGAAAACATGCCCACCCAAAAGTCTGTATGTAAATATTCATGTGTCTAAAACTACTGCCCAACCTGCATGCGCTTTAGCAACGAGAGGCTGTTCTGGGATACATGCACAAGGGGACATGAAGGTGAAGGCTGAAATACAGCTCCAGAGATTTTCTTCAAATCAGTATATAAAAATTAATTCTCTCGGCTAGCTTTCTATCTTGCTGTCGAATCAGGAAATGTGAAAATGGGTGGAGTCAAAAGAAATGCCTTGAATACTGGAAACCAAGGTCTCCCAGTTCCTGTGAACAAAGCCCAAGTAGCTCTTCTGCACACATGAAGAAGCTGAACTGTTGGTCGCCGCTGGGTGAAAAGGGGGTAAAAAAAGAGAAAAACTTTTCACTTAAAGAACATCTTTATTTGATCTCCAATATACAATATTACCTTTGATTTATATAAAAAAATCACATTATGGAGGACAGGACTGGAAATCAGTTGAGGAGCAGCCAGTGGGTAACAACATAGGCTATACTTACCCACTTCTTAGTTTAGGGGAAAATCATCAGTGTATTTGAGGTCAGTGAGGGTAAGGAATGGCGTTTCATCTTCCAAACCAACATAAATATACTTGGGGACACTGTAGTCCGTTAACCCAGCAAAATCGAGCGTTTCTGTCAATAAAGAGCTCTGCTTTTCATGGTTTTCTGATGTGCAATGTGCAGAATTCTGTAAGCATGCAAGTCATTGCAAGGTGTTCGCCTCACGTGTTCCTCTGCACATGTGCTCTGATATACTTGGAGAACCAAAGCTTAGGTGCACACTAAGAAGTGACCTCTGAGGAGGCAGGGCCTAGAAAGGCAGTTCATTCGTGCCAAGAAAGAGCTCTCTGTCCCTTCGTTCTGAACACAGGTTTCATTTCCAAAAATAGTGGCATGCTTGATTAACATCATGAAAAGTGTACTGCCTGTCAGAACTGGTACACTGCAACATATATGCTAGCAAGATGATACCACCTAAGTTTCAGGTGGCCTACAGCTGCTGACTGAGGTGGTAACAGTGCCAGTGTAAAGCTGAAGATGAAGGATGCTTTGATTGGCAAACAATGCACACTGACATACTTGTGAGGGTATGTGGAGAGCTACGGAAAGAAGGAGGAAGGACATGCCTCTGGGTATGTATCTTCACTCAGACTTAGGCTGTTCTAGGGGCGACAGTGTAAGTACCCTACAGACTAGCAGCAGCTGTGCCAAGGGGTGAGCTGGGCACACAACCCATTCTGTGTTGTTCACAGTTCTTCAAGATTGCTTTCTGCAGCACCAAGATCCAGAATCCTATTATGTTCTCATCTGAAAGCTCTAAGAGAATAGAGCAGCTATGCCCCAACATCCCAGGGTCGTGGTCCAAGGGTCAGTCGTCGTAAAGTTAGAAACCAATATTTTGATGCCATACAGATTTTTTTCGTGAGCAGTCTGGAATTACGACACTGAATGACAAGATGAAGAAAGGAAACGAGAGCCTAACCCTTCCATTCTGCCTCTTTCATGACAATCATTATCCTAAAACCCAAAGAGACCCTGAAAAATATATCTACTTTCAAGATAACAAAATATACACCTTTAGGTAACAGAAATACATACAATTGTACATACATACATCTTTCTGCTTTAAAGTGAATTAAGCAAATATAAAACAGAGAAAAGGTGTAGGTTAAAAGTTAGAGGGTCTTATACAAAATAAAGTTGGGATCAGGTCAGCAGCTGTGACATTCAGGTCAAATCCAGAACTCGATCTAGTTTTTTAAATGAAGGCCTACTGCATCACGGCTCCCCTGTTTGTCTGCATACCATCTACAGTTGTAACAGCAGGAGTGAATAGTAAGAGAGCTAGATGGCGCAGTCCTTAAGAAGCTTACTGTGTCTGATCCAGGAAGAGTGAGAAGACCACCTCTGTGAGGGTTGGGATGAGCTGAAGAACGGAAGCATGCTTCCCAGGGTCCCTAAACCACGAGTCAATCACAACAGTCAGATGGGATTCCGCCAATCCTCTGCAAGTTGTGTGGCCTAAAGCAGACATCAGCTGCCTACAGTGGGCAGATAGCATCCTGGGTCTGTGTATAACTGTATATACATAGTTATGCAGACTACACAAGGCAGGAGCTGGCCAATTCCAGGGTAAAGAACCCAGAGGACAGGAGGAACCTGAAGCTACAACTATTAGCCTCTAGTAACTGGCATTTGAGACATTTTAATAGGTTTTACTTTATAGGTAAGAAATACAGGTGCTACCATAGTAGGAAGTGTGCTAGAGAAAAGAATTTACCACTGCAGGCTAAACCCATGGATTAGGGAACAATTTTTTTTAAATATAAAATAACGCGCACGTCTACAAAATATTGACTTTAATAATGTAAAGTGATAACAAAATAAGACTGTTTTTATTTCTGAAGTAAATATTTTAGTCAAAGATGCATCAGAAATCAAATATTTCTTTGACATTTCCAAGAGACTTTAGTTATTAACTACAATTATAGTTGTTAGTATTATATAGTAACAGTGTTTAAAATATATTATAAACCTTTATCTTTCTCTTTAATTTAAATGAAATATAAAATTAAGAATTTCTTAACATGATCCATTTTGGAAAACATTTAAAATGATATGAACCACTGTCATACAGAAAATGCCATTGGAATCACGTGTCGTGTTCTAAGGCTTGAATGGTGCCAGGCACAGAGCTTGGCACGGATGCAATGTTCCGCAGCTGTCTGCCCACTCACTCTCTCACGCATGCGCTCACTCAAAGATCTGGCTTACGGGGAGCCTGCATCATAACCAGTAGGGCAAGCGCAAGCTTTTATCAATAAATCTGGAGTCTGACGAAGACCTTGGCGATGAAGAGTGGAAAAGAGGAGAAAAACTGCTTGACTGACACCTTCCAAGGGAAGCCTTGGTGTCCTAGAGGAACAGGGCACTCCTTCGATACCTAGGCTTTCTTTACACCCACACCCCAGTCAGAAGACAGGAACTGGTGCGTAGAGGAGCACAGCATGCACAGCCCCCCTGAGAGACAGCGCCTCCAGCTCAGGACTCGTCTGGACCGAGGCTTCTTCAAGGGCTCATTCTTAGTTTTAATAACTTCATAGTGGCTCATTAATTTTCTAAAAATCTGCTTTGAATCAAAAGATGTGATTCTAAAATGAGCAATAAATATGGAAGTTAGAGGTGTTCAACAATCCCCATTTTTATGTATTGTCTATTCTGCACGATCGTGCCCATAGCAGAGGGTGAAGCGTTGAGGCACTAGTGAGTAAGCATTGCTGGATTCCTTTCCAATTTTATAAACACAATGAGTATGGGGCCTGAGTATTGAGGTCTACAAAATGTCAAGGGTATGAAGGATGGAAGAAGACACACGTTTAAAATGTAAGCAAAATATGGGGTAATGCTAGATTTTGGAAAAATATCTTTAAAATCCATTAACAAAATACAACATGACACTGGCAAGTCATTTACACCTGACTTTAATGCCTTTGGTATTCAGAGAAGAAAAAGCATTGTCGTAAGCTCGAGTTCTCATCACAAAGACGGGGTGTTAAAATGACAGTCTTCAGATCTTCACATGAACCATGCCCTGCTCACACCCATGCCTCCTCTTATGCTCTAGGCTCATGTGAACGACAAGAGCACTGGGTGGGGGTGGGAGATGCTGTTTTGTCTCCTCTGAGCATTCCTGGGGAACCAAGATGGCGCCTTTACTGCACTGACGTGAACAAAGTGAAACACGGTTGGTGCCCTGCTTGCTGCTCTGGTCTCTGCCACCTCCAGCTTTTCACTTTATCTTGACTTGTGAGTGGACTTGTGCTGTTTTGAGAAGGCTCACTTTTTTCTCTTCTGAGAACCAAAACCTTCTCTTTCTCTTTAAAGTAATAGCGATCTACCTTTCTCATTTACACTTTAAAAATTTCAAGTAGGAAAAGATATCACCATTTTGAAATGTGCTAGAACTCGCTCTCTCCATGTTGTCTTCTATGAATACTGAACAGGTGTGAGGGGGCAAGCTTATGCAGCACTGGCTGAACTCTGAGGACCAGATGACTTACAGTGTAAGACGGTCACCCTTATATGTCTGATTATATTGACTTTTCCCACAATTTAAGTCTGCTATATGCTAGTAGAGAGCTAAAAAGAAAAGCTACCAACCAAGGAAATAAGCGTTCAAAATTCCAAAGCAGAGCTCATGAACAAACTGTTCTATCAAATATTCAAATTCAGAGCAAATATTAGATTATAGTGTTCTCAAGTTCTATTATCATCAAAAAATGATGTCTGTACTAAATGAAAAAATGAGGGAGAGTGTCTTGTATTGTCATAGAAATTCAGGGGACAAAAATTTTATAAGCATTAATATTTACCTTATAGATTTTGATAAAATTTTACCTTTTTTTGCCAAAGTATTAAGCAATAACAACAAAAAACCCCACAATATCTGTAAGTTCCTTAGGCTTATGCCAGTTTTAGTGAGTAGGATTAATTCTATCACACATTTGCCACTGGAGATTATTTTGAAGCTATTCTATTAGTTCTTTGGATATATAATATTCTTGGAGAAACATAAAAACATAAAATCTTTGTGAGTAGCTCACACATGTGAGGTAATTGAGGGACGATGAGATGTCTGCTTCTGCTTTAGTGTGTTGTGAAAGCGACTCAGCTTGTTCTAGCAAAGGCAGAGTGCATGACAGTTAGAGTGAATTCTGCCAAGCCACAGAAAGCTGTGAGGTGAACAACTCTACTAACTGCGGTACATGATTAAAGCAGGTTTCTTTGCTTGATAAGACTTGCTGGTTCAGAAGAATAATTTCCTTACCAACAAAATCAAGGATTCTTGAGAACAGGTTTCAAGGCAACAAACTGGCACCTTCCCCACCTTCTGCATGCTACCCATACTAGCGTGAGCTACATGCACACTCCCACACTCGGGCTCATAAGCAGCAGTTATGATAAATACCAGTTTCAGCATACCATATGGAGACAAGAGACTTGAAAAGTATTCTTCATGAGGTTATGCCCCCCAGAAAAAAACTAAATCTAAACAGATTTCAATGAACTATGTTGGGAGTGAAATGGTTACCAGTCCAGTAAAAATCCAATGGGGAGCTTGACTATTCAGACAGGGACAGTGTCTGTTTCTTCTCCAAGTCTTCTTCTACTGATGTAATTACACTGTTCCTTTGTTCTTGTTCACTCCAGTGTGTCCCATTATTTACTAAAGTGGAGGAAAGGGGTTAAGCAATGTGTAATATTTGATTTGAAAGCTGCTCCACGGTGGGAGGAAAGAAAGGTATAATTGGTTCCAAAAGCCATCTCTAACTCCTGGAAGGTGTTCTATGTTCTTGGCTTGCACTAACGATACAGAATAAGACATTGTTTCTCATGTGGCCATCTCATTAAGAGTCAAAGCACATCAGGCCTCTGTCCTACATGTACCAGAACATGTTTTGGTCAGGTATAAAATGGAATAATTTCAAAGTTGATGTATCTACAAGTGAAAAGTCTTGAAGGGGAGAGTTTCATCCGGCATGGTGATGTAGAGGTCCAGGTTTTCAAAGCCGCCTCTCCAGACAACGTCTGTAGTGGTCCATGTAAACAAAACACAGGTAAGAATGGTCCTTCTGGAGCTGTTCATCGAACAGCAGGATTACCTGAAAGAGTGCTGTTGGCTAAACGTAACACGGGCAGAGGGTGAGCCTCTGTGTTAAACACCCAGTGGTCTAAAGGTAGAAGGTCATCGCCAGAGAACAGTAGGTACAAGTATCTAAAACAAAAGGGAGAGGAGAGAACGTCAGTCAGAACTCAGCAAGAACTCAAGTGGACTCACTGGTGACTGCAGAGAAAGCCAGGAGCTGATTCTGAGCGGTTCTGATGAAGATGCACAATTTGACTTCTGAAATAAGTTTCTTAAAAAATCTCACACACCTGTCCAAAGCTATAAGAATAGCATAAAACAAATAACTTCATATATTTCAGACATTCTTTTAAAAAGCACACATAATATCAACTGTAAGTTTTAGAAACTCAGAGACTCATAAGAGATCTAAAGATTCCTATTTATTAGCAAATACTGAGGAAAGCTAGCAGCTGTAACGTTACAGCTATTGGAATGGACAACTATTAACTAGGTCTCAGAAGCACTCACTGCCTATTGATAAGGAGTCTGAAGGCGAATAGGAGCCCAAGGGCTCTGTGAGCTCCATGCTACGAGTCACCTGGACACCAAACAGGAATCAATAACAATTTTTTGGTTTGCTTGTTTGTTTTTTCAAGACAGGGATTCTCAGTATAGCCCTGGCTGTTGTGAAACTATCTCTGTAGACTAGGGTGGCATCCTTGACTGTCCTAGAATTAACTCCATAGATCAGGCTGGCCTTGAACTCACAGAGATCCACCTGCCTCTGCCTCATGAGTGCTGCGATTAAAGGTGAGTGCCACCATCACCTGGTGTACCACAATGATTCTTACCTTCAATATGGTCAAAAAAATTCCAATTTGAATCCTATTAAAGGTCATCAAAGTATACATAAAAATCTATAGGGTCAGGGTTGGGGTATATCTCAGTTATATAACACCTGCCTAGCACGAGCAATGCATTAGGTTCTATTTGTTGCACCATAAACACACAGAAAGGCAGACACATACTCCACAAAGTAAGAAAACCTGGGATCTACCTCTTGCTGTTAGTGACTGGCACCACTTTACAAAGCCCCAGTGATTTTTTTTTAAGTACATTGCTATCTCTTTAAGTTACTATTACAGTTCTAGATGACAGCAAAAATATAGTTCAGGTAAAGGGATGACATACTGCCTTACACACTAAGAAGCTGGAACACACTTTCTATCTCACTCTTGGCCCTCCATCTCTAGACCTGCTAGACTCATCAGGCTGTCAACAGAGAAGCTGCAACACACCTGTCTGGACACAGCAGGGGGCTCTGTACAGCTTTTCCATGTGGGAGACTGTAGTTCCAGTGTGGGGCTCCCGTGTCCCTGGTACAGCATTACAAGTGAAAGGAAAGGGAGAATTGGACTAGACATGCAAGGAAGAAGATCATCTGAAGACGGGGCAAAGGTAGTGCATCATTCTGTGTGCTCTGTCATCTTGACATCTTCTTTGGTGAGATACCGATTTTAAAATTTCACTCAATTTTTAGCTGGAATGCCTGTTCTCTTGCTAAGTTCCCAGAATTCCTCATGCTGTAGACAGTAGTCTATTATCGGTTGTTTGCTTTATAAAGATTATCATCCTAGTGTGTACCTTTTCTTCACCCTGCCCCCCACTTTGAGACAGAGTCTCTCTAATACCTCTGGCTGGTCTCAAACTCACAGAAACCTGTTGACAGAAGGTTTCTGTCCTGTCCAGGCCCACAGCCGCTCAGCCCCAAAGAAACACACAGAGGCCTACATTAATAATAAACTGGTTGGTCTATTAGCTCAGGCTTCTTATTAATTAATTCTTACATCTTAAATTAGCCCATTATTCTCATCTATGTTAGTCATGTGGCTTGGTACCTTTTATCAGCAAGGCATTCTCATCTTGTTTCCTATGCATCTGGGTTACAAATGCAGACTGAACCTTTCCTCTTCCCAGAATTCTTCTCCTATTCTGGTCGTCCTGCCTATACTTCCTGCCTGGCTACTGGCTACTGGCCAATCAGCATTTTAATAAAATACAAATAACAAATCTTTACGGGTACAAGACCATTGTCCAACAGCAGAGACCTGCCTGGCTCTGCTTCCCACATGCTGGCATTAAAGGAGTGTATGTGCCACTATACCCAGCCTTTTCTTCATGTTCTTAACAGTATCTTTCCAAAAATAACTGCTTTCAATTTTGAGACTATTTTAATGATTTTGCTTCTGCTGTCATATATAAGGAATCTTTGCCTAACTTCAGGTTACAAAGATTTCCCCCCCAGTTTTTTTCTTTTTAAAGTGTACTTTTTAGGATTTAAATTTAGGACAAGACCCACTATAAATTAATTTAGTAGATGAATTAGGAAATCCAAAATTTTCAGTGCAATCTATAGCCAATACCACCCTTTCTCATGACTGCCTTTGTGACAATCAGGTCTCCATTTACACACACTGCCATCCATGCGCTCTCTATTCTGTACATCAGTGAATCTATAGAATACACTGATATCCACCATTTTCAACACTGCAACTTTAATGTTTTCAAGTCAGCTATTATAGGCTTCTATGTTGCAGAATATTTGTTTATCTGTAAAGATGTGTCTACTAGTCAGGTATCTTCTGATTGGTTTAATAAAAAGCTAAATGGCCAATAGCTAGGCAGGAGAGAATAGGTGGGACTTGTAGAATATTATATTAAGAACTGTTACATTTGGTTATGCTCTGGAACATGTTTAATGATATAAAGATGTGTTGCTTTTATTTATGTTACAATTGTTTAACTCTGTGAAGCTATGATTCTTTGCCTGTATAAAACACCTGATGGTCTAATAAAGAGCTGAACAGTCAATAGCAAGTTAGGAGAAAGGATAGGCGGGGCTTGCAGGCAAAAAATATAAATAGAAGGGGAAATGACAAGAAAAAAAAGGAGCAAGGAGAGGAAGACATCAGAGGCCAGCCACTCAGCCAGCCATAGAGTAAGAGTAAAAGTAAGATATTCCGAAGCAAGAGAAAGCAGAGGCAAAAGGTAGACAGAATAATTTACGTTAAGGAAAGCCAGTGAGATGGCTTATCAGTCAAGCTAAGGCTGAGCGTTTATAAGTAAGAATAAGCCTCTATATGTATTATTTAGGTCCTGGGTGGTGGGCCCCCAAAGAGTAGAGAGTAAAAACAGAAGAAAAAAAAAAAACTCAGGGACTTCCGGGCAGAGAGAGAGAAACTGGGAGGAGGAATCTAGGCACATTTTGCCAGAAAATTAGAGAGCAGAAGGTGCAGTACAGGGATGAGACAGAGCCACATGGCAGAACATAGATTTAAAAATGTGGGCTAACTTTGTTTTAAGAGTTAGTTGAAAAGGCGGCTAAGCTAAGGCCAAGATTTCATAATTAATAGTAAGTCCCCGAGTTGTTGTTTGGGGAATGGTGATACAAAGATCATCCAACAAGAAAGCTTGCTACATTTGGCACGCCAATGCTACGCAACAAGAATTGAGATGTCATGCCAGCTGGTACTGCTGCAGTTGTCATCTGGGCCTTTTCGCTTGTGGGATTCTGCAAAATGGGTTCAGCAAGTTCCTGAGAGCTGAGAGCTAGGGCGGTAAATGCAGCTCCTGGCAATACCTTCAGCATGAGGCTAAGCTCTCAGGGAACTGAGGGGAACAGAGGCAGTCAGCAGAACCATGAGATGGTAGCCTAGTACTTTATGGTTTGACATATACTATCAGAGAAGGCTACAGACATGCAAAAAGTCAGGTTCAAACTGAGAAAACCTCTAAACAAATACAATATGTTTGAATATGCTTAGGTGCTAAAGAAAAAAAAAGATAAATGGGTATAAACAGTCATAGAAAAATAAATAGTTTAAAAATAAAGTCAGGAGAGAGTAAAGTAATATAAAAGGAATTAAGACATGTAAAGATGAAAAATACACAGGGTGTCTGGATTCTGTATGGTGCTTTGTTGAGTTTGAATTTTTTTAAATGCTGATAACAAAAAATAGTAGCTGCTGAAAAACACTGGGTTATAAAAATGCTAAATTAAAACAAGCTATATAAAAATGTCTTAACTTCAAAATGGAAGTCAGAAAATATGTGGCATCAGAGGAGAGGTTTTGCTTTTGTTTCCACAAGAAATAAAAAGCTACAGATTACTTCAAAATTAATGAAGACCAGATTTGATTGGGGGAGACCTACTGAAAGTACTGACTAGAGACAAGAAGGAGGAAAACCAAGAAAAACTACAAGTGATGTATAAGCTGATCCCTCTGCATGGGAACAGCTCTGAGACTGAATTAGACATGATACATCTTGTTGACTACAGAGTCCTCATGACTTTCATATGGGTAGAGACTTATATTACAGCTTGGTAATGCAGTCAAGACAAACTTATAAAGTTAACAAATACTTTTTACCTGCTCAAACATAACACAACTTATGCACACTGCACATTCCACACCTGTATTAATTCAAGCATAAATGTTACCTTTAAAAGTTTGTGTGCTTTCAGAAAGAAAGGACCAAACACCAGTGAAAACAATCCCAGGTGATCCAGCCTCTCAAAATGCTTCTGTTGCAGTTTTCTCAAATTCTAAAGTCCATATACAGAACAACTTCAAAACTGCTAGCTAAGATGGTCCAGCCTCATACACTACTCCAGCCATGACTTCAGATAAGCTCTACACATTCCCATCACACAAAGACTAAACAAAAAACAATACAGCTAGCTTTCCCAGGACTTGATCATTATCTCAATTTTTCTTAGGGTTCTCTAAAGATGTCGTTGCTCCCAGAGAACAGAAAGTAGGCTAGAGAACATGATGCCCAAATTCCCAACAGATGAGGTGGTTGGTTTTTGGTCATTTGGTGGGTTATGGATGTTTGCCATTATTTAGGGGAATTGGTTGTAAATTGTTACTTGTCAAGGTAAGGGAAGAAACTAAGCAAGGGAGGTTGAATTCAAGAGTCTCTGTCTGAAAAGAAAAAAGGGAGACTATAGTATATTGATACAAATTTAAGGTTATATTAAAACATACTCTATATGTGTTTCTACTCTTAAGATATTTTTTGTAAATTGATTCAAATTTAAGGTTATTTTTGTTATATTGTATATATTTTTATATTCTTGTTTA